TCCACATTATATACTTTGAACTGAATTATAGGAGTCTACACTCCCATATAATCCAGTTCAAAGCTGATAATCTGGATTTGATATGGAAATTTAGAAGGGGCCTCAGTAGTGGAATAAAATAGGAAGACAACAATGAAAGATTTTAACCTCCCCAGCCCAAATGTTCCAGATTATTTGGGTACCAATGACATACAAGGAACCTCAACCAATTAGCTCTAAAGCAAGTGTCTTTGTCAGTTTCCAGTTGGATATGCATGCTTGAGTCTTTAAAAGACTTGTGCTTTTAAAAGGTAAATTACTTCCGAATGTAATGTAACAGACTGAAAATAAGATTTGGATCCTAGTCACACCTACCCTAACTACTGGGACAAAAGTAGTGTTTGAACAGAAGAAAAATATTATTATTATTATTTATTGTTGCTTATTTATACCCCACTTTAGCTTACATTAAAAGCATCTCAATACAATTTGAAAACTATAAATATAAAAATATTAAAACAGAATTAAACATCAATGGTATTTTTTAAAATCACAGTTAAAATCCATAAAAACGTATTCAGAGCTAAAAACCACAGCACTCCCGGACTTGATCTTTAAAACCTTGTTCTTTAAAAGCCTGCCTGAATAAAAAGGCTTTATCCTGCCACCGGAAGGATAAAAGGGATGTGTCCATTCTGCCTTCCCTAGAAAGAAGGGAGTTCCATAATCTAGCGGCAGCCAATGAGAAGGAAGACCCTCTCTCTCGTTCCCACCAACTGAGCTTGTGATGGAGGTGGGACCAAGAAAAGAGCCTCTCCTGAAGATCTCAGGACAGGGCAGGTTTGTATAGGGAGATGCAGTCAGCCAAACAGCCTGGACTTGAACCATCTAGGGCTTTAAAGGTCATAACCAGCACTTTGTATTGTACCTGGAAACAAACTTACAGTCAGAGGAGCTGCTGCAATAGGAGGGTTGTCCACTCCCTTGTAGCCAACCCCAGTTAGCAACCTGGCTGCAGCTCTGATCAAAACAAAGTGAAATCAATTGGTTTATCTAGAGCAGGGGCCCTCAAACTAAGGCCCAGATACAGCCCTCCAAGGTTATTTACCCAGCCCTCGCTCAGGGTCAACCTAAGTCTTGAAACGACTTGAAAGCACACAACAACAACAATCCTATCTCATCAGCCAAAAGCAGGCCCACACTTCCCATTGAAATACTAATAAGTTTATATTTGTTAAAATTGTTCTTCATTTTAATTATTGTATTGTTTTAATAGGGCTGGGCGGTTTCGTTTCGTTAATTCGTAATTCGTTAATAATTCGTTAATTTTTTCAATTACAAAACGATAACGAACCATTCTGGAGCAATTATTAAAAAAACGAATTTTCAAAAACGTTTTGTAAATGCTTCGTATTTCGATATTGTATTCGTTTCGTTATTGTTTTGAGGTCGTTTCGTTATTATTTCCGCATGTCTGGGCCAGTTTTATGGTTTAATTAGTGAAAAAAAATTATAATATCACACCAACAGTCAAAAACAGAGGGAGAGGGAAGCTTCAGAAGGTTTTGGAGGTTTTTTAGCGTATTTCGCGGTCGCGTCCGCCATTAACGAATCGATTCGTTATTGTTTCGGAAATCGATTCGTTAATTTTTTACCATTTACGAAATTTCGTAAATATCGAACTTTTTAAAAGGAAAATTTTGTAATTATTTTAAATATCGAAACAAAAAAAAACCCAAATACAAATCGATTTTAGAAACAAATTTTTCCGTTGTTACCCAGGCCTATTTTTACAGTGTTTTTTGCACTACAAATAAGATATGTGCAGTGTGCACAGGAATTCATTCATGTTTTTTTCAAATTATAATCCGGCCCTCCAACACTGTGAGGGATTGTGACCTAGCCCTCTGTTTAAAAAGTTTGATGATCCCTGATCTAGAGGCTCTAGATACTTTGAGAAAAATAAATCCCCGTTATTCTGGATAAACTATGTTTTTGTCACCATCTAGTGGTGAAATAGCAGCTTGCATAGGTAAAATGCTTCGAGCTTTTAGACAGGTGTTTTCGATGGTTGTGAACTCAGAGCGCTATGAAATCTCTTGCTTGGAATTTCTGGTATTCCCATCATACGTTCAATTTTATAAGAATTCTCAAGCATATATGAGTATGGTTACATGAAACCTTAGGAATGCTGTAGCAAAAACCCTTTCCTGTACTAACGTATTTATTTTCCAGGATGCATTAAAGTCTTTGCATTTTATCCTAGCCATGGTCCTGTCAACTAGGTTATGTTGACATATAGCAAGTATAATAAAATCCAATGGGCAGAAAGACTGAGCCTTATCCATTAAAATATAAAATCTATTAAAATTAAGCTGCTGAACAAGATAGTTAATCTACAGATCTGTCAGTAAGATACATGTATTATTTTTCTTAGCACTTTTATGCAGATTATCTTAGGTGTGATTTGATCCAGATGTAAAGCTACATGGAAATGACAGCACATGCTGGCTGGTTACAGGACCTTTGCTAGGATAATTGACATCTGCAGAGAAAGTTGTGTTTCATGAAGTGTTACTTGCTTACCTTACTTCCTTTCATTCAGAATCATAGAATTATAGAGTTAGAAAAAACCACAAGTGGCATCCAGTCCAACCTGCTTTTGCCATGCAGGAACACACTATCAAAGCACTCCCAACAGATGTCCATCCAGCCTCAGCTTGAAAACTTCTAGAGAAGAAAACTCCACCACTGTGCAAGGCAACATATTCCAATGCTGAACAGCTATTACTGTTTTTATTTATTTATTTATTGTTCGAACTTATATGCCGCCACTCCCCTGGGGCTCGGAGCAGCTTACAAGGATGACTAAAATCTAACACAATTTTAAAACAATTTAAAACAATTTAAAAACAGCAATATTAACAATCAAAGGTCTGTCGAAACAGGTATGTCTTACATGCCCTGCAGAAAGCTGACAAGTCCCGCAAGGCACGGACCTCAGGTGGCAAAGTATTCCAGAGCGATGGTGCCACTGCGATGGTGCCACTGCTGTAAAGGCTCTGCGTCTGGTTGCTGTTAGACGCAAGGTCTTGACACTGGGAATTTCCAATAGAGCTTGGTCCTCAGAATGGAGGGATCTCTGGGGTTGGTAGGGGGTGAGGTGGTCCCTCAGGTACATCGGCCCCAGACCATGCAAGGCCTTAAAGGTGAGTACCATTAGGAAGTTTTTCCCAGCGTTTAGGTGGTATCTCTTTTCTTTCCATTTGAATCAATTGCTCTGTGTCAGAGGACCTCATCAGATGGGCTGATGGTATGACCACACATTGTGGTGAATCCGACAGTGCCCAGTGGGGGGTGGGAGAAACCCATCGCCCCACACCCAACATCACCCAGCTTCTCCCCTATCTCACCACATGAGGTGGGTGGGGGAGGGGGGGTGGAGAGTGTCAACTGCTTGGCTTTCCCCTGTTGACTCTAATTGAACATAGGAACCACCTGTGTTTCTCTATAGTTTTACGACATAGACCCACCAGAAGTAGTTTTACATCATAGGATGGGAATCAGCAGGCTCTGTTGATACAGAACAGTATTTCTCAAACTGTGCTCCTCCAGGTGTTTTGGACCTCAGCTCCCAGAAATCCCATCCGTCTTAGGAATTGTGGGAGCTGAAGTCCAAAACTTCTGGAGGAGCACAGTTTAAGTAACTCTGTTATAGAGGAATGGGCGCATGCTGCCAAAAAGTACCCTGTCTGATGAGATTGCGAGTCTCCAGGGTAGCAGCGAATAAGCTTTCCCCTCTACAATGTGACATCTTTTCAAATACTTAAACATCACTATTATGTCATCTATCAGTCTTCTTTCCTCCAAGCTACATGTTCCTGGCTTCCTTGAAATTGGAACAATGAAATCCTGGCCTACCTTTAGTAGCATAAGGTAGCAGATGATGGAGATATAGAGCAATAGTGGGGAGTTGAAGGATAGTGCTGTGCCCATCACTCAACCTGTCTTCTCCACTCTCCTCTGCTATCCTACAGGTATCAAGGTGAAGTAGCAGTGCCCATGAGTACTTTTTCCAGTGAGAGTGGTGCAAAGTGCTGTTCTGGCTAGACCTAGGCATGCATTAATGTCTTTCCTCTGGAAGGTTGAAACACATAATGCATTGAATTGTTTTTAAGATTTATTTATTTAAATTTAAATCAAATCTTTATTATAATCATAGACCAGCATATGAAGTCCCATCCTCACAACCTCTGAGGATGCCTGCCACAGATGCAGGGAAAACGTCAGGAGATAATGCTTTTGAAACATGGCCATACAGCCCGAAAAATATACAGCAATCCAGTGATTCTGGCCATGAAAGCCTTCGACAACACAAAAGCATCATGCATTAAAATTGTTAGAACCTAGGCTAAAAGCTAGAATAAAAAGCTAAAACAAAAAATACTAATTAGAGAATGCAAATACTAAACTTTATTACAGTCACTGACCAGCAAAAAGTGGGGCACAAGCACCCTGGGAAGGGAAAACACAGCTCCCCAGTGAAGCAGTTATTAAGAAAACAGATTAGAAAACAGTTTAAAATCATAGTTTAAAAACATAGGTTCATGTAACAGGCAGAGAATTAGAGAATGATACATTAAATTGTATTTTGATTGAATTGTTCTAATAATTATACAAGTTTAATGCCATTTTAATATTTGTCTTTTGTATACTTTAGTTGTATTGCTTTTTAAGTATGAGCTGCTTCACATCTCCATTTTGAGGGAAAACAGAATTGAAATTATTATTATTATTATTAATAATAATAATAATAATAATAATAATAATAATAATAATAATATAGAGTTGCCTTTGTGGGATATCCAGACTTCACTTTGTTCAGAAGAATTCAGAAGGCTAATAGTGAGCAGAGGATATACACGGGGAGTATGTGGCTCCCTTGTTGAAACTGCTTACATGATTTCCAGTGGATTTCCAGACACAATTATCTTGAATTAACCAAAATTCTTTCATTTTAGATGAGAACTGTATTCCCCTCCTGTTTGTTGAGTAATTTGACAAGGAGGGTGGACTGTCAAACTGAAGTGCAACAAATGCCACTCAACATGGAGCCAAGAGAAATGGGCATTGATGAAGGCATGAGCCAAAGGACATTGCAAGGAGAAGCCAAGGAGAAACAGAAACCATGGCAAGTGCCAGTAATGACTAAAACATGCCAACATACATATCCCTCCAGGGAAATAAGGTGGGTTAAAAATGAAGTTATTATTTTTTGAAACACAAGTTAAGTCCACAGCAAACAAGATCACTCTGCTGGCTGTTGTATTGGATCACACATCATACAGCCCATCATACACTTCCCAGGTGTCTAGGACTGTATGATGTATTGGCGAATAATGCGTGCATATCCCAGTAAGGTGGCCTTTTGCAGCTGACAGATGGTAATTTTGTCAGCACCAATGGTGTTTAAGTGCAGGCCAAGGTCTTTAGGTACTGCACTCAGTGTGCCGATCACCACTTGGACCACCTTTACTGGGTTGTGCAGTAAAGGTGCAGTTCGATCTTTAAATCCTTTGCAATTCGATCTTTAAATCCTCATATCATTTCAGCTTTTCCAGTTGTTTCTCTTTAATCCTGCTGTCACCTGGGATTGCAACATCGACAATCCATACTTTGTTTTTTAACATGATCGTGAGGTGAGGAGTATTGTGCTCCAAAACTCTGTCAGTCTGAATTCAGAAATCCCAGAGTAGTTTGACGTGTTCATTTTTTTGTAACTTTTTCAGGCTTGTGATCGCAGCAGTTCTTTTTTGCAGGCAAATGGTATTTGTGGCACAGGTTCCAATGAATCATCTGAGCAACAGTGTTATTCCTCTGCTTGTAGTCTTGTAGTAGTAGTTGTTGTTGTTGTTATTGTTATTATTATTATTATTGACACAAAAGCACAGTATGTCACAGCAAACGAGATCTATATGCTGGATTTTGTATCACAAAATCACAAGTCGAACACTTCCCAAGCGTCTACAACTGTGTGATGTATTTTTGAATGATGTGCGCAGATCCAAGTAAGGTGGCCTTTTGCAGTTGACAGATTGTGATTTTGTCGATGTTTATTGTTTCCAAATGCCGGCTGAGATCTTTTGGCACGGCACCCAGTGCGTCAATGACCACTGGGACCACCTTGTAGTCCTTGCTCATGAGCTTAGCATCTAAAAGATACATACAAAATACAAAAAGGAAAAGCCTGGGAATGGAAGAGGAAAAGAAGCAAACCAACGTAAATGGGAAAAGTTTAGAGGAGGAAGGAGCACAAAGGTCAGCCAGTTTTGCATAGGCAGAACAAGCACTATCTGCTGCAACACCTACCGGAATTGCAGCAGATAAAGATCAATTGTGGGCAAGAAGCCATCAAAATCAGAACAATAATACTAGTAATCCTATCTTGAAATCCCACAGAGAGAAGAGACCATTACAGCTGAAGCAGAAAGTCTTTATTGAGCGCAGGTCCTTGCTTGAGTAAGTATGTCTTTCTGTCTGTCCAAGAAGAGCAGGAAGGGCTGCAATAAATACACAACTCAGCAGATCACAGACTATCTCTACTTCTCCCATACAGCTGTAGTGAACTATATGCCAAATGTGTACCATAATATAATAAACACAAGATCACCCTTACATAGGATGTAATTAGCGACCTGGGAGAAATCTCAAGTTTTGCAAAACTACTAAAATCTTCTCAAATTATGCAAAAAAAAATGTGCAATTTATCATAAAGTCATCTTTGGATTATAATAACCCCTACCAATGAGAGGCTTCAAAGACCCCTAGTCATCAAAGCCTCCTCAGATCTTGCTAAATCAAGGCCATGACCTTTAAAAAAAACTTATCCATGTGTACTGTAGTATTACACTTTTCCTACAGTTTTCCACCTTTCCCAGCATTATTTCATTCAGTCGTGCGGTCTTATTTATATATTTGTATTACATTTTTAACAAAAACAAACAAACAGACAGACAAAACACAGAATTTGCAAGCTTGGTAGTTGATTAAATGTCCTTTGACCAGGATCTGGCCACCTGGAGTGCCTCTGGTGTTGCCGCAAGGACGTCCTCCATTGGGCATGTGGCAGGGCTCAGGCTGCATTGCAGCAGGTGGTCTGCGGTTTGCTCTTCTCCACACTCGCATGTCGTGGATTCCACTTTGTAGCCCCATTTCTTAAGATTGGCTCTGCATCTCGTGGTGCCGGAGCGCAGCACCTTCCAAGTCGCCCAGTTTTCTGTGTGCCCAGGGGGGAGTCTCTCATTTGGTATCAGCCATTGATTGAGGTTCTCGGTTTGAGCTTGCCACTTTTGGACTCTCGTTTGCTGGGGTGTTCCAGCGAGTGTCAACAGATGACTTCATAATATAGCTGTTATATCATACATAGAAACATATTTATTTCTTCCAAGTATTTCTCTTAAGCAAACTTTTCATGTGGTTTTCTTGGCAATATTCAGAGGGGATTGCCATTGCATGCCTCTAAGACAGGAGGTGTGTTTTGCTCATGGTCACTCAGTGAGTTCCCATGACAGAGCAAAGGTTGAGCCCCTACTCTCCTAGAAGCCCAGCCTATCACTCCACCACTACACCAGACTGGCTCTCACTTGCATATTATTATTATTGCTATTGTTATCAATTGAAGGCATCTCTATTCTGAGTCCTCTCCCCCTTGCCTCGAATCATAATAAACATTATCTGGATTCACAAGGGCTTGGGAGAACCTAAAAAATGCCCCAACCATTTAATTTCAACCATTTAATTTCCAGTCTTGCAGACACCTGTTTACTCACCCATGATCAACCCTGTCCCTCTTTTGCAGTGAGCTTCTGGAAGTGCAACATTTCCGCACCATCTATAACATCTTTGTGGCCGTGCTCTGTATCTTCGTTCTTAGGGCAGTTGTTGTGGATTTCATCGATAATGAACGGTATGGTTCATGAGAAAGCCTGAAAACTTTCTTAAATTGCATTCTAGAGCATTCCAAAGTTGCCTATGAGGGCAAGAGAAGATTAGGTCACTTTATGTTACAAAAATTAAAAATCAATAAACAGCCACACTGCTCAATGAGGAAAGAGGCAATAACATTATTAGGACCAAGAAACATGCCATAAAATTGTGGGGAAATTCCCAACAGTGGTGTCACTCTGGTGGAGAAAAAGACTTAGCAGAAAAGTGAGCAGAGGGAGAAAAAAAATCACAGAGCATCCAAGAGTTGGCTGGCATTTGTTCCACTGATGATCTATTTGGACTGAGGACTCAGGCTGGAATCTGATGCTTTATAGGATCAATGTAAACTACCACATTGGCAAATGATGGTTACGGTGATTAAAAAACTAGAGAGCAAGCCAATTGTTCCGCATTGGGAATGCTGATAGATTTGTTCAAAGAATAATATTATGAATGGTGTCTTTTCTCCAGACACCTTGACTTGATGTTCTACTAACATACATTTGTTTTGGTTATCTGTCTTAGTTGTTGTCTACTCACAGCTTCTCTTCTGTCTTTCACAGCCTTGTCCTTGATATTGAAGTGCTCATCTTTGCTTTTGGACGGTTACACATGGCACTCTTGCCCTGGCTTGTTATGTTCCTCTACACCTTATTAGTGCCCTACAAGGTTCTACAAATCTGGGCCCACTCCTTGGAGACGCTCCAGTGGCCCACCCTCGTCGCAGTAATTGCAACAGCAGTGATAGTTATTGGCCATGCTACTGTTTTGGGCTTGTATCCTGTCTACACTGTCATCTCACAGCCTTTTGGACCTGCCTCCTGTTTCATCATTATTCTTGAACAGGTGTGACACTAGAATATGGATCCAGAAGTCATCCTAGCTGCAATACTAGGTTTGGATGCCCAAAGCACATACTCCTTACATATAAGCATGCCACAAGGAAGACTAAAAATGTTGTCAATGACAGCAACATTTATTTGTATATATTGGCAAAAGTCATTTCAGAAACCTGCCTTCTTGCTATTCAGAGACCATGCAGGTTATCTTGGAGTTGAATAACAGTGTGAGAATGGTTATGCTCCTGTATGTAACTCACAGAATTAAGATTTGCATTACATACTGGCCAAGTATTGCCACATTCACAGGTATTTGGCTTTATGTGAAGCTGCCATTGTTGGGAGATCAGACTTGCAAAGCAAGCAGGGACTAGAGGGGAAAGAAAAGATCAATATTTACTTGAGTCATGAGCTACTGAAGGCCAAACCAGAGTAAAATGATTCATAAGATTCAGCTGAAGCTTATTTTCCTGTTGCATCACTTGCTTTGTGTGGAGTTGGGAGGTACAATGCCAGTCCCTTGCTGAACTTCACATGAGAGCAGCATCATTTCCTTCTCTGTCAAACCTGAGTGAAGAACTAGGGATGCGAAAGCTCTCTTTTAGGTAAGGATCAGGTAGCTTTGGTCCCCAAGTCAGGACCTATCTCAGCAGTATCTAAACACAAAGCCTTAGACATGCACTGTGTCAATACTTTTTTTCCCCTCTTACCTAGCTCCGGTTTCTCATGAAAATCCATTCCTTCCTAAGGGAAACTGTGCCTCCCATCCTTCGGGCCAGGTCAAATGATGGTGAGCTTGATTTGGGGGCCCTTTGGATTCTTAGAAATGAAAGAATCCCATCTGGTTTCCAGTGTTTGTAGCTCCTTCTTACCTTTGGCACTGGGGTTGCCAGATGAAAGGCTCTTGTATCCTCAATGGTCTAGCAGGACAGGGAATTTCAGCCAGTGGTGCCTTTCCTGAGCATGCCATGCAAACCCTTGTCTCCCTGTTCATCCTCAGTGCTCTCACAGCTCCTTTGTTTCATTCTTTTCTCTTCCAGGGAAGATGGGCCTGCCTCCATTCTCTACATATTTATATTTTCTCTTCTGCCCCACTTTGATCTACAGGGAGAATTACCCAAGGTGAGTCCTCACCTCACACCCTTAGTCTCTGGTGGTTTTTTAGACTTTGGGAAGATGGGGAGAGATAGCCTCAGAACGTATTGTGGGGTGTTTCCAAACTTAGAACTAGATTGTGGTTCCCATCACCTGTAGCCAGCATGAAGAGGGAGCTACTGTGTTGCTCTGGGTATTTTCAGTAGAAATGGCTGTGGAGGGCTGCTTTACAGAAAGGAAACCCTTCAATCATCTCCCCAAAGGCAGTGAACTGAATGCTTGCTGTTTTCTTTGTACTTCTCATAGGACACCCCATGTTCGCTGGAGGTATGTCATTGAGAACTTCGCTAAGGTGAGAGACACCAAACAAGGTTGCTATACACTGATTTGTATGCCTGCCATTTGTGTGAATGAGGAGAGCATTCAGCACGTCTATACTTTGCTCTATATTCTCTTGAGTCTCAGTTTAGCTGAGTCCAAGTCTGGAGATGAGCAAAAGTAGAATTTGATAAAGCCTCTCTTGTACTGGTGTGTTCTGGAAGCCATACTTGACAGTAGAGTTCATGGGCAGCAACTCTCCAAAAAACAATGGCTGCCAAATGACAGTGTCTTAAAGTTCCCATATGCTCTAGCTAAGAGGGCCCTGTGGAAAATTAAAGAAATCATAGGCTTTAGCTGCTAGAAGCTCAACCGGGAAATTTTTTAAGGAACCCGGTGAACAATGCTCACACTAGTCTTAATCACATCCACACACTGAGATGGAGCTTTCTCCCTTTTTCATGCAGTTCTTTGGGTGCCTGTTTTATGGATCCATGCTTTTCAAGTGCTTATCTATCCCTATCTTCAGCACCATGAATAAGCAGCTCCTCACCTTCCGAAGTTTGGTGCTGTGTGTCTTCAATGCAACATTGCCAGGTATGTGGACAGAACGATGTCATGGTTTCTGTGATAGCGATGAGTTGTAGTAAATCAACTGGGGGGAAAAGCCAGGAGTGTAGTTTTTCTCAGATGAGAGGTGATTCACTTTGGCATCCATCTCAATTGACCCCAAACAATCTTATATTAATTCTTCTGCTGCCAGCTCCATTCACGATGTCAATATTTCAGTAGCCTGTCCTGTTCATACATTCTTATGTAAACAAAGGAATGATGAAGAACATCATGTTGGTCGCCAGTTTTTAAAATATATCATAGTTATCCATTTCTTTTACAGATAGGTTTCTGGTGCTTTAAAAGACCAGCATACAAATGTGCTGATAATGCTTCGTGAAATCAGACCAGCCAGAGCTTGATACTCTAAAATTAATAGTGGTTAGAAAGTATGACTTGGTATTACTGTAACCTTTTTTGCTTCTGTGCCAACCCTCTTCCCCATCAGACGTCTTGCATTGATGAATTGGAGGCTCCTTGATGGAGGGCTTGATGGGGACTGAACATGCTACATAGTGCCACATCACACTAGAGCAGGCATGGGCAAACTGGCATCCTCAGAGGTTCCTCTGAGGATGTGAGCCACACAGATGCAGGTGAAACATTAGGAGAGAATGCTAATGGAACATGGCCATATAGCCTGAAAAACTCACAGCAACATAAGAAAATTATTTACTGAAAATCTGATTTCAGTTTACTTTGGAACATTTCTAAACCAAAAATGGAGGAAGGAAACCATTTTTCATCCTAAACTAGAATAAAATTCTGTGTGCCGGGAGTGGAGGGGTTAATCATAACAACTTCAGATCATTCTGCACTGTTTATTGAACTATGACAGATCTTGGTGCTGCTGATGTTTCCTAATCCTTTTATACCTCTGTAATAATGTATTGATACAAGCTAAGAGACTAATGCTTTTCCATCTCTCCCCATAGCATTATATTTGGTGCTGCTGATGTTCTTCTGCTTCTTCCACTGCTGGCTTAATGCCTTCGCTGAAATGCTGCGCTTTGCTGACCGCGGTTTCTACAAGGTGATCACAGGGGCTTGGAGAGGTACCAGGGGAAGGGCTGGACTGTTTTAGATTCCATTACGTCACCATGGTTTTCTTGGCTACTTCTGAATGTTGGTAAAGAAATCCAAATATTTAAAATTTCACAAAATTGAAAACTAAATAAAAGGCAAACACAGGTTTGGATGTATGACATGTGACAGTAGTTCCATTAGCCTGGGGTGTCCAGATGATGCCCTAGGCTAATGTGATGCAACCCAGGATAAACCTGTTAATGTAGGTTTAAAAAAACACCACCAAAGTCCAAATCTTCCAGGAAGATCCTGACTTTTGCTGGTGCTGTGACTATGGAGACTATTATTGAGGATCACCATGCTCAATCCCTGATAGCAGTCTTCACAGCCATCCTGTGCTCCCCAGGCTCAGGCAGCCTGGGGGTGTGAGATGACAATATCACCTCCCCACAGTGCCCCATTCCACCCCAAAACCAAAGAAACCCTGTGTTTACCAATGAAAGAAACTTCTATGTAGCTCCATGTTGCCTAGAAATGATGCTATAGAACTTTGGAGAAGGGAGAGGGATTCCCTCTCCAAAGCTCTATCATATTATTTCTGGGCACCACAGAGCTACATTGGTAAACATGCTGTTTCTTTGGTTTCTTTTTTTTGGGGGGGGGGAATGGGGCATAGAGGGTGACACTAGCCATGCCAGCCCGTGCCGACAGTGCATTGGCATGGCATATATGTGTGGCCAACCCCTTGGCAATGAGGCAGGGTTCCCCCAACCTCAATATGGCTACAAAATGCAGTACAAACTGGCATGGAAGAGCCCAAAGACTCTATGGCTGATGTTTATCCTCTCATAAAACTGGGTACAGAGCTGGATGACAGATAGTATTTGTTACAGGAACAGGTCACAATTCCAAAGTAAGGCGAGGACATCTTGTTCCCTAGAAGTTACCACATTAAGGCTGGACAGAAATATATTGTGATGATGGCCACAACAGCATGCAGAAAGTTGTACTTCCTTTTCTTCTCCTTTTTTCCTTTTCACCCTCCCCCAGGACTGGTGGAACGCCACATCTTTCCCTATATTTTTCCGGACCTGGAATGTGGTAGTACATGACTGGCTGTACTACTATATCTATCAGGACCTCCTGTGGGTAAGAAAAACTTGGAAAAACAGATTGAAGAGGAATCTGGTTGATTGGATAAAAACACAAAGACAGAAACAAATGGGAATATACAGCAGAGTGGGGAATTTCTGACCATCCAGATGTTGTTTCGTCAGATGTTTTTTGATGTCAAGTCCCATCACCCCAAAGCAAGTAAGCGAATGATCAGAGAAGTTGACATCTGCATCTAACAACATTTTGCAGGCCACAGCTTCCTCAGTCCTATCAATTCACTTACTGGGAGAACAATCCAGCCCCTTTCATCAAATATAAATAGATTTTTTATGCGATTCCATCATATGACTCACCTGTACTCCTTGCCTTCCAGGTATTTAAAGCAAAAGCCCAGTCTGTGGCTCTGCTGTCCACCTTTATTATTTCAGGTGTTGCCCATGAATATGCCTTCACATTGTGCTTTGGCTTCTTCTACCCATTTACACTCCCATTCTCGATCGTTGTTGTCTTAGAAGGTAAGTATTGCTTTAAAGGGCTGCTGCACATCAAAGCACCAGCCATCTTAATTATCAGTGTATTGATTTTTAAAATCCATGTCTGCAAATGTATGATAATAAGTTGAACTTCATAAAAAGGAAGCGTGAAATCTTTTTTTCATAAATCAATATTTAATCAACATAAATCCAACCACATCTATACCTGGATTATAGAAGAATCAAGTAGGCTCAGTCTCCTAAATTTTGTAAATCAGCTGCTGTTTTTAGAAGAACAGGGAGTGTATGTATGAAAGGATAAAAGAAGCCAAAATAGCTCTCAAAATCAGTTCCTCTCTCCCGTATCTGCCACTTCTGGCTTCAGTTAAATTATTTGGTTTGCATTGAAGAAAAAGGGAGAAAAGTCATATATAGAATGCAAAAAGAAAAGAGCAGAAGAGGAGAAAGAAATGAGAAAAGATAGCAAAATGCCATGCCAGTAAAAATAAATAAATAAACAGGTAGCAGTATAAAACCTGTACCAACAATAGGCAGGGCCTTAATCAGAAAATTGGGGGGGGGGGGGAGGGGGGGGGTTGAAACTTTTTTTTAGTCAATCATAAAGAGTAGTTCCATAACACAAAATAATTTAAATTATATGGTTCATTCAATATTTTTTATCTAGATTTAATTAAATTTCTATTTTAGTTGAAAAGTTTCAAGTCTTAAAATAACTTAAAATAACTGTTAATTCGTAATTTATAATTACAAAAGAATACTACAATGTCTGTTGGAAACACTTGAAAACTCTGCCAATCCATTTCGATAGAAATCAGGCTGCATCGATAAACTTTGGTGGACACTCAAGAATGCAAGTCAGCGTGTGAACACTGGAGCACATTTCTGTTTCCAGTTAATTACATTAGGAGGCATGATAAGAAGTTTGAACCTCAAACGCATGAGACTAAATTTACCCGACACCTTTAAAATTCGGATGAGTCTAAACATCATTACTCACTTTTCAAGTTGCAATGGCATCTTATTCAGACAATATGACAAATATGGATAACTACACAGGGAAGGTAGTATGCTGGGCCTAACCCTCTGGAAGCTCTGGGAGATATAATATGAGGGTTTGTATTGTCGAAGGCTTTCATGGCCGGAATCACTCAGAACTGAATATGAGGGTTCTTCTCATACTATATCTCCCTGGTTCCTGAAATTGCTCAACAGAGCTCTCCATGTAAGAAATAATTCTGTTTGTCCACACCACAACAATTGGATCTTTCTTTCATCTATTTCATGCCTCACCCTTTCTCAGCACAGCTTGTTCCTTCTTTGGTTTTCTCTTTGAAACCTCATTTCCCACCAATACAGCACACATCACTACACATCACTGAAACTGGTGGAAATGTCCTTCACAACCCTAGAATGCATCTGTGGGCATTTGGGAAAAAGCAAAAATATTGTTCTCTGGAGGACTATGGGAGTCTCAAAATCAGCCCTAGAAGCCTCATGCAACGTACTGTGACATGTTACCCACTCGTGGGCTTTATTTTTAAGTTGCTTTCGTATTTATGCATTTTTTAGCAGAAGCACTCTGGCTCATATATATTCAACTGGGAATAAAGCTTCTATACTTCAAAGAGGAGTGCAAATGTGCACTCTTCTTTGGATATATATAATGTGGATATAATGTGTATGCGTGTATCCATTTGGCAAAACCAATAGCAGTTACTTAGTCCACAGTGGTTTCAGACTTCTAGTTGCAGGTTTGAGCCGATTTATTTATGTATTATTTAAAGTTTTGAAAATTATTTTTAGGCTTAATGTTACAAGCAACATTAACTCCAACATTCATTTTGTGTCCTTTACATCCTTGATGGTGTGACAAATGAAATCAGTTGTTTCTAAATCGTGATGCGTAGGGTTTGCTCAATAACCGTCCACATGGGAATCAAGAGGGACAATTAAAGAGGGATAGCTCACAAAACCCGGGGATCTCTTTTGCATACTGTAGTCTGTGGGGATTTGTAAAAAGGCACCATGATGTAAGGAGTTGACTGGAAAGGCATGTGTCGGCAGCTGGTTGGCTGAGCATGCCAGGAGCCAGAATTCTGATTGGCTACTATCTCTAGCTTGTGGCTGAGAGAAACGGTTTTAACTGCCACTTTCACCTCAGAGAGTGAAGAGAGCGCTGACTGGAAACACTCAGGAAGGAAATGGCTGCCAACTCTCTGAAGCCTGATCATTTCTAAAGCATAAAGCATATTTTAAAGACTGTTTAAAAGGACTGTTTATTTCCTCTGTTCTCTGTAAGAGAGACTGCTGTATATATTGTTGCTCTGACCTTTTGAACTGAAGCAAAGTTACTGTTCCTCGTTACACAAATCTGAGTGACACATTATTATACTGCAGGGTATATTTTGGTTCAAAAACAGTGGTAAAGCTTCTATTTATTTACATCTACAACTTCCAACATAATCTACTAAGTACAACTAATCTCCAGCCAATCTTTTTTATAGGGATGTTTTATTCTACCTTCAGTCATGGGAATAAAAGTCCTAACTCGAACATCCTATTCTGGACATACCTCCTGTTGGGTCTAGCACTTCAGTTCTGCCTGCAATCCCTAGAGTGGTATTCCCAAATCCACTGTCCAGTCCCAAAGGTGAGCATACTGAGGAACAGGGCAAATCTCCTGTTCCTCTCTCCTAAAAGCCTGTATTACAGCTCAAACGTTTCCTACTCTGCATGTGTAAAATATACAAATGTGTGAAATGTATAAATGTCCTTGTTGTTCTTTCTTTCAGAGTACATTCTGGACAAAAGTAACCACACATTTTTGGTCCTGCTATTCCTAGGCCATAACAACCCCCAGCTGACCTTTTGGAAAGCTGTCTCTCCCCTGTACTCCTGCCTCCATGTTGCTGAAAAAGACTCTCCTAGTAGAGATACCTTGTATGATTCCTGTAATGTAGAGGAATACATGTGAAGGTGTCCAGAATTCTGGGCTAGAAAATATCTTGTTGACTTAATCATCAAAACACCAAGAGAAGCACCAGCGCTCAGCGGCAGAACACATACAGAAGATCTCAGGTGAATTTATCGTGTATCCAAGGATGACCAGGAAACAAAGTTGTTTGAAACACTGCTGATCACAAATGGGGAGATGTGTATAAAAAGGATCCATTAAGAAAAGTGAATAAGAAAGGTGTATGCTAAAACATGTACAGATCCGTATCTGAAAAGAAATCCAAGCCTCACAACTTGAGATTATACAAGGATGGAAAAAATCTTAATTTTTTTTCTTTGAAAAAATAAATATGAAATGTAATTTATGAAATAAAGTTTACAAATAAATTAACACCATTTCAAAGTGCTGATAGAATATAAAACATAGAATCTGGTCTCCAAAGTGATTTTTTAAAAAATTCTACCAAGTGCCTCATTCTATATACAATGCTGAGTACTTGGGATTTGTCTTCTTGGGCCTGTTGACTGTGAACCAAACTACCATAAAGCTATTTCTGTCCATGTCTTCATATAGTTATTTAAGTTTTTGTGTGAACTTTTCTGAGAGAGCTGTCTCATATGTGTGCATACCATGAGAAAATATTCCTAATTTCTACAGTTGGGTTATTAACTGTGTAGTGCAGTGGTACCTTACCTGTGGTCCGTGGACCATCAGTAGTCCCCAAGAACTAAAATATGGTCTGCAGCCTCACTCTGTTCCAATTAGCATCATTGGTGGTGTTTCCTCAATTGACCCCATCGAAGTTTTAAGGCATGCATCTTCAAATCAAATGACGGCCTGTAGCATAAACAAGGAACATGAGTAACTCTGCTGTCATTGAGATGTTGAATGAATTCCTGGTTTTTCAAAGTAGAGTTGTAGGGTGAGTCTTTATTGGAGGTGATGACAGATAGGTATCTCAGCTCCTTTAAAATTTGGATTAAAGTCTATATCAAATTCAAAACACATGGAAGATCAAGTTCTCAACCTTTGATCTTCCATGTGTTTTGAACTTCAACTCTCATAATTCCTAACAGCTGGCAAGCTGGCTGGGATTTCTCAGAGTTGAAATCCAAAACACTTGGAGGACCAAAGGTGGGAACCACTGTTTAGGATCATAGAAGAGAGCACATGGACCATCTAGTCCAACTCCTTCCATGCAGGAAAATCACAATCAAAGCACCCACAACAGATGGCCATCCAGCCTCTGTTTAAAAGCTTGCAAGAAGGAGCTTTGGCCACACTCTGAGGCAGAGAGTTCCACTGGTGAACAGCACTTACAGTCTGGAAGTTCTTCCTACTATTCAGGTGGATTTCCTTTCCTGTTATTTGAACCCTTTTCTCTGAATCCTAGTCTCCAGGGCAGCAAAAAGCAAGCTTTTGCCCTCTTCCTTATGACAGCCTTTCAAATGTTTAAACATGGTGACCACATCTCTTAACCTTCTCTTCTGCAGGCTAAACATACTCAGTTCTTTAAGACACTCCTCATAGGGCATGGTCTCCAGACCTTTGATCATTTTAGTCACCCTCTAGACACATTACAGCTTGTCAACATCCCTGAATACTGGACTTATCCCACTACCAGTAATACTGGACTCACCCACATCACCTGACCATCTAACAGATAAAAAGCACATCTTAACATCTTAAGAATAAGTCACAATATGGAAAAGGATCATCACTGTTAGTGGGTGGAGTTCTTCACCATTTATGTTTCTTTTCATTTTAAGCATTAAATGAGTGCTACAATATTATCAGGGTGTAAAGAAGAAATATGTTATTGACCCCCTCCCTCCCAAGCAAAACATATCAGTGGTGCCAGAGGGCCTCATAAATGATCTGAAGAAGTCTCCTGGTTGCAACTCTGAAAATTCCCAGAAAATCAAACCAAATCCTCTTTCCCACTTAACCAGTTAACCACTTAACCAGCCCATTAACCAGCTAAGTATGCACAAACATTACACATCTAACTTGGACCTTCACAATGAGCAGAGAACGGCAACCTGGTAGCTCTGGTGACTCTCAAAAGACAAGGCATGACCTAAAATATAAACCCATTAAGCTGCACCCATCATCTTTTCATTCTAATCTTAGTACCCATCAGGACACCAAAACACCTGTTGTCCAATATCTGGAAATCTTGTGGAATCTATATCAGTAGAAGTAGGCCCATCAGATACTCTTTGTTTCCCTGAACCTAGCCCACATTCCTTCCCAACCTCCAGAGGGTGGACACAAACCGATAGAAGACAGATTCAAATGCAACCGAGCAGTTTGGTGGGAATTTTAATTGACTGCTCAGCCAATCAGCAGTCGAGACCTTTAAACCTTTAGCCAATCAGCAGTCAGGAATGGATGGACCCCTTCACCCAATGAAACCGCAGATTCTGGAACTGTATAAATCATCTCTGTCATGTTACCAACTATATAATATCTATAATACCCATGTTTGTACTTGGAAAACATGCTGGATTGCTGTCCCCAGCATTTCTGTTCCTTCCTTCAACCTGTACACATCTATTGGATCTGATTGAAGCTCTAGCAAGCCAGGAGGACATGAAATTTTGGACAAACAAAGGGGTGGGGGGATGAAATTGGGAGGAGAATGAGGCCAGTTCTACTGCCATATAATGCAGTTTGTTATTTAAACAAGTGCCTATGGAAAACCTTGTTATCCAAATTCAGTCTCGTTAGGCTCTAACGGTGTGTTACTGAATAAGTCAGTTCTCCTTAGTAGGGGTCCTCAAACTTTTTAAACAGAGGGCCAGGTCACAGTCCCTCAAACTGTTGGAGGGCCGGATTATAATATGAAAAAAAACATGAATGAATTCCTATGCACACTGCACATATCTTATTTGTAGTGCAAAAAAACCCCCAACAATTAAAATACAATAATTAAAATGAAGAATAATTTTAACAAATAAAAACTTATTAGTATTTCAGTGGGAAGTGTGGGCCTGCTTTTGGCTGATGAGATAGGATTGTTGTTTTTGTTGTGTGCTTTCATGTCATTTTAGACTTAGGTTGACCCTGAGCAAGGGCCGGGTAAATGGCCTTGGAGGGCCGTATCCGACCCCTGGCCTTAGTTTGAGGACCCCTGTCTTTAGCTTTCCACTTTCTTTCCTCTGAATGTTTGGTCTTTTTAAAGTGTACTTTCTGTCTTTCTCTCTCACTTCTAACAATTCCCTAATAGGCTAAATTACTTTGAAAACCAAATGTTAGGATAACAATAACTGCATGAAGAGTTGTGTTACTGAAAATTAGACCCCAACATTATGAATTATGAGTTGCAGATCTGCTGGTACATATAATGCTTCCATGCTGCCTTTTCTATTTTGCTTTGTATTAACCTCATGAATTTCCTGGAAATGTTGCCTCATCCCACCTTGGACATCAGGAAATGATTTCCCCAAATTATCATAATCCTTTCGCAACACACAAGGAGACTCATGGGAAACACAATATACTTGCTGAAGAATCTCTGGGTCATTTTCCTGTTTCACCTGATTTGATTTGTGTTATGCCTGGGAACGCTTCCTCTTCCATGCCCTAAACCAGACCCAGCCTTATGACACCCGTTGAGGTGGTTATCCCCTTACGCACCCTTTGTTTACTGGACAAACACTATTGTATCAACTGGAGCTGGAATATTAAGCCCATTATTGAATGCCCCACCAAATTCCTTTCTGATCGCGCCCCTTTTCACTTTAAATATTCCAATGGCAGTTAACTAAAGTTTCCCACCACAGCAAAAATCAATAAGTGGATCCTAGTCAAACATTTTCTTTTCTTTTCTTTTCTTTTCTTTTCTTTGGGGGGGAGGGTGTTATTTTTTATTTTTGACACCAGCATCTAATGCAAACAATACACTTTTTAAATTTTTTTAAAATTTTTATTTTAGTTGATACATTCCGTCAATTAACAAAATTTTGTCAACAAGTCATATCTTGATATACATTATTCCAAAAGTAAATTTACCTTATATGACACTTTATACATTCCTTAGATGTGTATCATCCATTACCCATACCCTCCCCTCCCCCCATTCTCCCCTCCCCCTGGAACAATGGTTCTAAATGATGTCATTGCATTGATTTAACCATATGGAAAGCCTGGTTCAAAATGACAGATCCCCGTCTATTTTGTCGGTTAGAATAGATCATTTCCTGTATCAGTCTTGTTTTGCAGGACTATTTGCATACTAGTTTCTCCTTTGATTAATGAAATCATTGATTATATATTCTGATAGATTATCAGAATAAATACAAAGAATTCTTGAATCTGTTGTTTAATGACCTGTTTATCCTTTTCATTAAAGGTTACCTTTGGCTTGAATCTCCATTTCCTTGGGGGCTTCCTGACTGACTCTCCTAATTTCAACAAGAGGGGAGCATGAGCTCCTGGCCAGTGGTTCCCCACTTTGATCTCCTTTATTAGTCTTATATTGTCTATTCCTACTATGAAGTAGTCTATGGCAGAAAGTTTTGTGTGCCTATGCAAGTCAGACATTTTCTGAGCCAATCAAGAGTCAGTGCAATAGGTTTGAATAGCTGTAAAGAAAATCCAATCAACATGCTGGTTTTGACCTACAAAACGTACAAAACCCTTTACGGTTCCGGTCCAGCGTATCTGTCCGAACGTATCTCCTTCTACGTCCCATCCCGGAATTTGAGATCATCCGGGGAGGCCCTGCTCTCAACCCCATTGCTTTTATTGTATGCTTTTATTGTTTTTATCTGCTTTTACAGGTTTTATGGCTGTTTTGGCCAATAATCATTATTGTTTCTGTTAATTGTTGTTATTGCTAAAATTGCTGTCGTTAACTGATGTTGCTGTTCTTGCTGTTATGTAATGCGGGCATTGAATTGTGCCTTGCTTGTGTAAGCTGCCCTGAGCCCTGAGGCCCCCCCCCCCCGGGGTGAGAAGGGTGGGGTAGAAGCAACCGAACTTAAATAAATCAATAAATGCTATATATTGGTGCGAAGAAGCAAGGGAGCTGAGGGATAATTTATTGTTGCCTCCAATTTGAAAGGATCCAGTATTCAGGAGATTTCACCCCAGTTCCCAATTCTAAAAAGAACTGGCCGATTTGCAATGGAGGTTGCCGATTAGGAACCAAATTTACCTTCAAGTTGGAAGGGAGGCTGTTCAATTGCACCTCCTCCTTTATTAAGAAAGTAATAACTTAGTAGTAATTACACTGTATATACTGTAGCGTGACTGGAGAGAAGAATGTAGTTTCATTTGGTTACTTTTCCCTGCGTTTCTGCCACCATGTGAGGTAAGTTGTAATATTGTGAGAAATGGCACTTTGTACCCAGAATAGACGGAGTTGAGGCAATCTTCAAATAAAAGTTAACAATTTTATTAAGTACACAGCGTGTGGTTGCAAGACGTAACTTTTGTTATAGAACTTAGAACAATGCTTGGTTAGTTGAACGTTGCACTCTTTCAGGTCACACAGTATCTTCCTGAGGTGAAGCACTTATTACTAAACAAAGTTTCAATACAGGGATGTCTCCCTTATCTGATCCTCCCTTGATCAGATACTTAATAAGATTATTCTTTAGCCTTTCCTTAGACTAAAGGAATACTGGCTTCTGTTTCCCTTATCAGCCTCTCTAGGCTAAGAAACTTTCAGTAGCTTAATCTGGCT